CCCGTGGCTCCCTGTGCGCCGGAAGCCCTCCTCCCTATCAGGTTTCTCTTGGTGAGATGTACTGTGAGGTGCGTATGCATTCAGGATGGGTATGTCTTTTGGAGGGTCAACCCTTCTGTCATTGTGTAGTCTCCCCTGTTAATGAGGGATACTGTGTCTCCCTCACAGTTTTTTTTGTTTTTTGTTTTTTTGGTACTGCGAATGAAACTCAGGACCTTATGCTTGCCAGGCAGGCACTTGTGCCACTGAGCTATATCCTGGACATGTCTCCTTCATAGTGAGATCAGTTGAGTCATGACTTCCTGTATTTTTCTAACATTTTCTTTGCGGAAGATTTTGGCCTGTTTTTTTTTTTTTTTTTTTTTTTTGTCTTTTTGAGACAGGGTCTCACTGTGCAGTTCACGCTGGCCTTGAGCTCACTTTGTAGCCCAGGGTGGTCTCGAACCTGCAATGATCCTCCTGCCTCAGCCTCCCGAGTGCTGGGATTACAGGTGTGCACCACCATGTCCGGCTGGCCTCTATTTTTTGATTCACAAAGAACGCTCAGGCTGTATCCAAAAAATACAGGTAATGCACCTGAAATAGCCATGGGCAGTTTAGGGATTCACATTATTAATAATGTAAAGCTTGTTGAGGCTTTTGCTCTGCAGACTTGCTGTTTCTCATTGGATGCATGCAGTATGCAGCCCTGTGACTGGCTTTCCCTTCCGCTGCCTTCAGCAGTAGGAATGACTATGGCATGGCCTTCAGAAGCTCAAGAGAAAGCACTGGAAAGCGCGGGACATGCTGTGCTGTGTCACCGACATGAATGAAGTCCATAGTTTTAAAGGAATCTGGTTTTATATCCAAAGGTCTAATATTACAGTAGTAGCCACACCTACATAAACTGTGTGTCCGTAAGGCCCCTCCGTACTCTGCAGGGAGCGTAGCCCTGGTGTGTCTCTGGGCAGGGCTGTGTGTGGCCCAGGCGCCAGGCTGACAGAGAGGAGAGCCTGCTTGGAACTCTCAGGGGTTGTGCTGGACTCTGGCCCTCCCTGAGCAACGCAGTCATTGCCGCCAGATCGGGACTCGGGCCAGCTCCTCATGCACCTGATCATAGGTGGAACTATGGTTTTCTTCCTACCCTCACCTTACCCCCTGATGAAAAGTGAGCGTCCTCGCCCCCTTTAAAGCTTTTCCATCTCTTTGGCCTCCATCTTAGCGGGAATCTTTGGAGGTCACATACAGGGGCCTCAGGGACGGAGACCAGAGTGTCCCATTCATGTGGTGACCTCCCCAGCTGTGAAGTGCTTGTCCATCTCATTATTAAGCGCATGCCCGTGCTGTCTTCCCTCACCTTTCAGAGCGATGGGACCACCTCACCACCACCACAACCAGGAGGCCAGGAACAACCAGGGCCCCCGCAAATCCTGCAGGTAGGCGGCCACCGTGGGGGACAGGCAGAGGGGGTCTATGGTGCACCTTCTGGGGCAGTGTCCAAATTAGCTACTTGTAATTGAACCCACTGACTCTTGCTTTTGTTCATGGCCCCCGGAAGATGACTTTAGCTTGTATGATGCCCTGGATGACCGAAATGACCGAGATGACGGCCAAAAGAAGCCCAGCGCAGGAGGAGGAGGAGGTGAGTCCTGGCTGCTCTAAACCACGGCAGCCCCACACCCCACTCCGTAGCCTGGTGGAGAACACTAAAACAGTGTTGCTTGCATTTTTTGGTCTTAGTATTGCCAGGGAGAAATCCGAAATAAACCCTCTAGTTTCACTTGCTCTTTGTTGACTTAAAACTCCCTGATTTTGGAAGTCACACATCTAGTCTCTCAGGAGCTTGGCTGTAGATGACATCTCTGCCGTGTGGATCATGATGGTTACTCTTCAGGGACTTGGAATGCTGCTTTGGCTGTGGACACTGACTGCTCACGTGGGGTTGCAGATGTCCCGTGGGTAATGAGGTGGACGGGATGGAGGTATGGCCTCACTGCCTGCATATTGTGTCTGTCTCCTTTGCCGCCTTAGCCTTTGGGTCGGGTCGGACCCTTGCAGCTCCACACACGGGCATGTTGACCTGCTGACAGTGTCTTGTTGAGAATTATAACGCAGGGTTAGCTTGACCTAGACTCACCTAGTCTCTCTCCTCCCCTGTGGAGGCTAAAGACACCCGCCAGCTCCCGTGACCCAAAACACCACATGATGTTTTGTGTGATGTGAGCTAAGAGGCAGCCTCTGCTGGTCCCAGAAAAGACGTCCACATTCCTCCCCTTTAGCAGTGGTCCCTCCCTCATCCTCCCTCTCCTGCATCTGTAACCCGCAATGCCCTGGAGAAGCCAGGTGGCGGGCAGGGCTCTGTCTTCTCCAGTCTTTGGCCACCATGTCAAGCCTTCTTCTCCCCAGCACCACTCATCTCTCAGATGTTAGCTTTCCATGGGATGTGCTTCCAGACCTGGATTCAGTAACAGTAGGACTCCCTGAATTACTGAAGATGCCAAGAGCTTTAGTTTGTGTGGGTCATGCCTATCAGTATTTATCATGTGCATATTTAAATCTGAAATCTAAAATGACTAACACTAAACCCATACAATCTTAACAGAAATAGCAATATTTTTATGAGAAATGATTATGCATGGCAAAACAAAAACACAGTTTACTGAGAAGAGTGGCATTGTTTTCCATTTTTGCTAATTCCCACAATATTTGGCTTAGTACGAGACAGCTGGATTCTCATATTTACTTCTCTATTGAGCTGTGATATATTGTTTGGTGACAGTATATTTAAAACTGGTCTATTTTTACTCTTTCAATTAAAATTTCAGGGCCAGGGATGTAGCTCAGTGGCATACGTGCCTACCTGGTAAGCACAAGGTCCTGAGTTTGAGTCCCAGTACTAAAAAAAAAAAAAAAAAGTGTGTTTTCATTAAAATTTCAATACACACTTATTCCCTAAATCTGCCAACGCAAAGTTTTGAAGCAATAAAATATGAAGCTGGGGCTGAGGATTTAGCTCAGTGGCGCAGCGCCTGCCTGGTAAGCACAAGGTCCCGAGTTCAAGTCCCAGTACCAAAAAAACAGAGTGTGTTTTCATTAAGATTTCAATATACACTTATTCCCTAAATCCACCAACCTAAAATTTTGAAACAATAAAATATGAAGCTGGGGCTAGGGATGTAGCTCAGTGGTGACGCGCCTGCCCGGCAAACATGAGGTCCTGAGTTTGATTCCCAGTGCCCCCTACCAAAAACAAAACAAAACCACAAGGCATCTTGTGAAATAAAATGAACAACCCTACAATGACAGGCTTACCTGTTGCTCCCCTAATCATCCCATTCCCCTACGTTGCAGTCCCCCCTTACCGTCTAGTCAGTGATTGACTTACTCCTCTGCAACAATGACTACTTCAACTTCCGCCTAACCAAAAGATAATAATACATCACATGAAGGAAGAGGCTCGATCCCTAATACTAATCCCCTTTGTTTTATTTATGTGCTATCAATAAATTTAGGCAGAGTAGCCCCACTGTGAGCAGAGGTACTAATTACCAGGCCTTAAAAGACTGAGTCATCATTAGCACAGTTCTTACCGCAAGGAATGCCCATTTTACTTATTCCAGTACTAGTAATTCTTGAAACTCTTAGTGTGTTTAGCCAGTCTGTGCTCCAGCCTTGATTTACAGCCAGCATTATTGCCAGACATCTGATCTACCTTATTAGAGGGGCTACATTTGTCTTAACAAATGCAGCACCCACTTCATTCCATTTATTGGCCTGGTTCTTTTCACAGTTATACAATTGCTGTTGCCCTAAGCATATGTACTGACTTTATTAATTAGCTTCTACCTACATGGTGACGCCTAATGACCCACCAGACACATGCATGCTACAGTTAACCCAAGCCCCTGGCCATTATGGGGCACTTTCAGCCCTCCTGCTTACGGCAGCATAAATAATACGGTTTCCTTTCAGCTCAAACACTGCAGTTCTTGTAGGGTCCTTAACAGACCTATTAATATTAGGTCGGTGATGATGCAGTGTAGTATGAGAAAGAACTTTCCACGGCCACCATATGCTAGTTGTCCAAAAAGGCCTCTGATACAGAATACTCTTATTGGTTGTGTCTTTGGGGCTCTTTCTTCTATCACTCAGGTCCAGCCCCTGTGCCCGAGCTAGGACGATGCTGACCACTTACAGGCATTGAACCTCAACCCTAGAAGCCCCACTGCTTAATACATCAGGGATTTAGCTTCAGGAGTGTCCCTTCCCTGGGCTCACCACAGTTGGACAGAGAGGAACAGAAAACACATAATTTAAGCCCACCTTTTCAATCCTATTCAGCGTTTTACACTTCTGCAAGGCTTAGAATATTCTGAAATATCGCCATTTCCAGCAGCGTTTATGGCTGAACATTCTCTATAGCAACAAGACTCGGAGGGCTCCATGTAATTATTGGTTCTGCATTTCATACAGTTCGGCTCTGCATCAATTAAATTCCCATTTCGCATCTAATCATCCCTTTGGATCTAAAGTGGCTAGCTGCCTGGTAGTGACACTTCACCGACAGGACGAGTATTCCTCTGTGTCTCAATTTGATGAGCCTTCTTCTCTTTGTAGTAAGTAGCTCAGTTGACTCCTGTCAGTTTTAGTCAAATCCGAAGGAGAGCGATAAGCATATTTACTATTCTGTTGAGCAGTGCCACGTTGGTTTTTCTATTCATTACCACTGTATTCTGAGCCTTCCCTGTACAGGAGTTTGGGGACGGTGGCGGTGGTGGTGGTGGCGATGATCCTGCTGGCGCTGGGGGTTGAACCCAGGGCCTCACGCATGCCACGCACATGCTGTACCAGTGTGCTGCACTGCCAGCCCGAGCTTTCACTGGCTATGGAAAAACCGAGCCCACTGATGCAGCTTTAACCCCACAGAATCAGCCCACCTTGCACCTATAAAATTCTTCCACGTAGCCATTGCTTTCTTGCTGTTTGAGCTAGAAATTGGGGTCTTCCTTGTCTCTCCCACAAGCATCGCAGAGAAACAATCTGACCCCACTACAGCTAGAGCCCTTGTCTTAATCTTTATTTTAGCCCTAGGCCTAGCCTCTGAATGGCTCCTAAAATGACTACAGAGAGTACAATATGGTAATTAGTCTGAGCTAAAACAAATGATTTTGACTCACTAAATTATGGCTTCCTCATAATTACCAAAATGGCCTCAATCTACTTAAAGAGTGAATCTAGCTGATGCTGAATCTCTCCTAGGCACGCTCATTTACAGAGCCCTTCTTATATCTTCCCTGCAGTGCCTGGCAGGCATAATGCTATCAATATGTATTCTTGGGGCTATCACGATTCTAAATCTATACTACATCCTATCATTTCTAGGCCGTTATTCTGTTGCTGTTCACAGCTTGTGAGGCCGCATGGGCTTAGCACTACTAGCCATGGTACCTAACGCGTATGGTTTAGCCTGTGTGCAGAACGCTTCAGTTTGTTACAGTGCTAAAAATTCTCCCAGCAAGTATGCTCGTTCTGGTTACATCACACTCCTAAAACTCAATGATCTGAATCAACACCCCTCCGCACGGCCTACTAACCAGCCTGCTTAGCCTCCTTGTCTAAGTCAGTCTACAATAATAACCAGTTTCTCACTAACATTCTTCTTCTCTGCCCCTTTTCTAACGCCGGCAGCTTGACTCCTCCCCCAGTAATGACAGGAAGCCAGTGTCAACTATACAGAGAGCCAGACAAATGGGAAAGACGGCATATCTCACTACTGATCTCTTCACAAGTATTTCTTATTGTGATGTTTATGCCCACGGAGCTAATTATATTTTACGTCCTCTTTGAAGCTGCACTTAAACCCACCTCAATAATTATCTCAAGCAGGGGGAATCCAAGAGAATAGTAATAAACACAGCTATAATCTATGTCCAAAATACAAACATCACTAAATTTTTTACTTACTCATTATCACATCTCAGTATTACCAACTACCTGATCCAATCATTTTGTTTTGTTTTTGTTTTTCTGAGACAGAGTCTTACTGTGTAGTACAGACTGGCCTGGAACTCACTGTAGCCCAGGCTGGCCTCAAACTCTTGGTGATCCTCCTGCTTCAGCCTCCTGAGGGATAGGATTACAGACATACATATGCCACCACGCCCGGCTCTGGTCCAGTAATCTTCCAAGAGTAGCATGCATTGTAGTTTTTGTAGTAAAAAGCCATTACCACAAGCACGTGTAAGGTACCAAGGGCTGGGTCTGCAGACCAAGCAGCTTGCTCACGTCCCGTGTTAGGCCCACTAACAGATCTCAGAGCTTGCCCATTTCCTTTTTAAATTCTTTTTTCAGTGGTGTGTGTTTGTGATATAGAATAATTGCGTTCATCTTGAGGCATTGGTGCATGCTGTATATTTCCTGTGCGACCATCGTGAGGCATAATCATGATAGGCTCCATCGTCTTTGCCAAACAGACCTCAGACCACGGATTGCTTGCTCCACAGGAAGTCGCATGGCACCAGTAATCCCCGTGTTCCCAGACAGACCCCAGGAAGTTTAATAGGGGCCACAGCCCTCACGGCTGCCCCCGGCTTCACGCCATCCATGTTATTTTGCCTCGTATCTCCAGCTCTGAACCAGTCC